CCTTATTTTCAAGGATGGGGGAGACTAGAACAAATTTATAATGGAAGACATTCTTAAAAGCAATTTTTCTGAAAATTCAGTGGGTTTTAATCATTTTAAAGTACTAAAAGGTGGAAAAAACTTGAAAAAAACTTTTGTAACGTATTTACTTCCTTATAAGGTCAGATTACCATATATCGTCAGCAAAAGTTTGGMAAACGAATGAATTTTTCTCCGAAGCAATTGTTTGATATGTCTTTTTACACAACCGTCCCTTTAGAAACACCGACGCAGBTTACACTAGTTTACCGCTAGACTCCACCAATTTTAACAGCARATAGCTTAGTATTAAAATAGGATRACCAAAGACTGTTTCATCTTTAAATGCATGATTATGGACCTGCTCTAAAAAATAGAATTACCTTATTGGCGTAAACATGCCTTTTAAATGGAGATTCACTATGACAATGATGKTGATAATAGTTTACTAGAAATATTGGATTTTCAGATAATTAAAAAGAATCGCTAATAAATGCCACTAGACAATATGCTGCAGAATCTCCTCAACAAATATTATCTAAAGAGTTAATAAAATTATAAAACTTATTAATAATGYATAAGCTATTGCTCCAATAAGGGCTGACCATTTAATCAGGTGATTGACCTTGTAAATCTGATACAACCACTATTGTTGTATCGGATTTACAACACGGTCGTCACCATTGAGACAACCCAACACTAGCAAAGGTCTCAGTTTTAGTGTCGCATCATAGGCCTTCACTAGGTTTTGAAGCAATCAAAGACGGATAACAGAACTCGCTTATGCAACAGATGGCTTGCTTTCCATGTGGGATGGATAATTATTCAAAATGTTCTGTGTTGCAGTAAATTGCGCRTGCTTAATAGGGACTAAACTCAGCAGTTACCTTGTTTGTCATTTTTCGTCATTTATCTCACTGTAATTCATGTTAATTTGTGTTGGAGTTTTATAAGTCGTTTACAACATTCGCGTCCATGTTGTATGGGAATTACAATCTCTCGCCTGCGGCTCGAGATTGTAATTCCCATGCAACACGGCCGCTCATGTTGTAAACTATACTTAGCTTGATTGTCAAAAGCATTGATTAATCTGCATGGTAGTTTCAGCTTATGACATTTTGTAGGTTTTCTGTTTGTTTGGTAAAACGACAAAACTTTGTCAATTATGGATTTTATTATCATGTATCGAAAATAACTTCGGTTCTTTTTTTACTTATTAAAATTACAGCAACAACTGACAATAGAAATTACATTTTAAGATTAATGCATGTCATGTTGCTATTTTCAGTGGTTTTCCCAGAGTCTGAATGGGAAGCGATAAGCAACAAATGGACAAAATAGCGACTAGCGACAAACTTGAACAAGAACATATTAACTGACTGGCGACGTTTTCCTAAAAATAGATATTTTTAAGCAATATTCAAGCATTATTCTTGAATACCAGTTTTTTTGTTTTGTATTTTGCAAGCAACTGCATTCGTAATTTTCCGCGGAAAAATAAATTTTGCTTCGGATTGGCTTCTTGAAGTTTTGATTGTCCACTTTGAGTGGCATCCAATTGACCAATCAAGACTCGAGGATTCAATTTCTCCTGGAATAGCCTCCTTCCTAGCACTATAACTTTCCTTTATTATATCATCTTGATATAATAATAGCGAACTGTTTTAGATGCATTCAAATGTTTATCAACATTTTTTGAATAACTGACGCCATTTTGTTCAATAGGCATGAAGTTCGGAGGCGTGGCTACAAAGCCCCATACATTCTTTGTAATTTTGACGGAGGATTCACGAGGCGGTGTTATAATTTCCTTGTTTWTTCACTTAAATCTTAACCGTTGGACCTGAGATTTTTAGCCAATTTAGGTAAGTGAATTGTCACGTTTATTACCAAATTTGAACGGATTGAGAACAATATTACCCCGGATTTTATGTGAATTTCTGAAGCTGACGTATGCAAATTTACCACGTGGCGATGCGTGCAAATCAAAACAAACACTACGAGATGTATCCAACCAGGATTTGGGCAAATTCCACATGAAAGATAATTACAATTGAGTGAAGTGTTTTAAGAGATCTTTTTCTTATTTCAGGCATTTAAATGTCGGCAGTTTATAAGCCCAAAAAAGCTAACTGCTGCGTTGGTGGCTGCAATAATGACGATCGATATCCAGAAAAATATGTAATTCGATCCCATGTGAAGGTTATGCGCTTTTTTAACTTTACAAAAGCTAAGGACAAACGCCAAATATGGATTGAWGCAATTTCTCCARGATTAAGCGGACTTTTCTCACCAGGCAATGGAACATTTGTTTGTGCAAATCATTTCATTGATGGCGAGCCTACAAAAATAAATCCAAATCCCACAAAATTTCTTTCTGTGTTACGAAATACCTTTGACAAGTCTCCAAAGAAAAGGCGACTTTTACAGAAAGTTTACACAGCAAAGTCACTGCCTAACAATTCAATTAATGATGATAACAATGATGATGATTGTAATGATGATAACAATGATGATTATGATAACAATGATAACAAAGATGATCATGATAACATGGATATTGATTGCAATAATGAACCTGATACTTCACAGTCAGATGATTCAGATTGGGAGCAAGTTACCAGGCCAGACCTTGTTTTTGAGGAAGTATCCAGGGAGGGAATGGTTAAGGTATATACAGGACTACCTAATGGAGAGATTTTCCAATATCTGCTCAATTATCTTAGGCCAAAAGCAAAAAATATGAATTACTGGAAAGGCCCATCACAAGTTTTTTAAAGAATCTCTCAAACAGAGTAGTACAGAACGTTTATCTGCACTATTCAAAGACTTTAAGGAGAAGGGTATTGATCCACCCTCTGTGAAAAGAGGGCCCACCTAGAAAGCTTACCCTTGAACAGGAATTTCTAATGACACTTATGAAATTGAGACTTGGCCTTCTAGAAGATGATCTTGCCTTTAGGTTTAAAGTTTCCCAGTCACTTGTATCAGAAACAGTCTCGACGTGGTTGAGATTTTTCGCAAAGGAGTTAGACTGGTTGATTATGTGGCCAAGTAAAGGCCAGGTAATGCTTGAATTACCAGACTCTTTTAGAAGGCTTTACCCTAAAGTACGTTGTGTCATTGATTGCTCAGAGGTTTTTACTGAAACCCCAAGTGCTTTAGACATCCAGGCAGCTCTTTGGTCGGAGTACAAGCATCATTGTACAATAAAGTTCCTGGTTGCTATAACAGCAAATGGTGCCCCATCTTATGTATCACCATGCTATGTTGGCAGAGCAACTGACAAATTTATTGTAAGGGATTGTGGTTTTTTAAATTTTGTGGAACCTTATGATCAGATCATGGCCGACAGAGGCTTCAAGATCAGAGAGGAATTGTTACTACGTCATTCAGCTTTGTGTATTCCACCAAGCACAAGTGCTGGAATGCAAATGGCTGCAGCTGAAGTAAAAGAAACTTCACGTATAGCAAATGTCAGAATATATGTAGAACAAGCAATTGGAAGGCTGAAACAATTCCGTATCTTGAAGAACATTTTACCAGTTAGCTACCTAACTTTATGTGATGACAGTCAAAGTTGTGTGTTCACTTACAGCTTTAAAAGACCCACTGTGTCAATGAAAGATAACTGGCTGGCCAGTTGACTTTTGATCATGAGGGCTTGTAAATGCATAATTGGGGAAGAAGTTCAGAGGTGGAGTGTTTCATCTGTGACATTAACATGTTGTGTTTTTGCTTATTAAAGTCAGGGTTGTTATAACATAAAATAGAAATACACAGGAAATAGTAATTTTGTTCATGAGAAATTTTGATACTAAGTGAATAACAGACGAGTGTACAACAACAACACTAACATGACCATGTAAAAAAACTAGTTAAAATTGGTTAACATTTCAACTTACAACTATGTAATCTTTTTTTTTCCTTTTTAATATTTTGGAACTGTCAGTCATCAAAATTGAATCAAGATTTTCTGACACAAGATCCTGCAAACATGCACTGCAGAACCACTCCTGATCTAACCATTCCAGGTTAACATTTCAACTTACAAATTACAAAAATACATGTATGTAATATTTTTTACTTGTTTAATATTCTTAAACTGTCAGTCATCAATTTCAATTAAATTAAGATTTTCTGACATGAGATCCTGCAAACATGCACTGCAGAACCACTCCTGATCTTCATCAATGCTTCTGACTTGAGCACATTTGAAGTGAAACCAAGATGAAAATCTATCACAACAAATGCTGTTGTCTGGTGAGTAATTTGGGAGTTCTTTACCTTCTAGAATTACTTTCTCACATGTTGGACAAAAATAAATAACATGCAATCCAAGGAGAACTTTAGCCATGTAACTCTTGAAAAACAGGTCGAGTTTCATAAGTGCACTTTCCCAAAGACCAGTATCAAACTTGATAACTTCAACATGTAGTTCTTTGGGAGTCCAAACTAGAAGGTAACATCTTAGAGCTCCAGTAACAGCCATTTCTCCATTTACTTGGTAGTAATACTTGTGTTCTCTTTTCAGCTGTATTGTGTTGTTTCTACGTTCTAGAAAATCTGTTGGCTGCCACCATTCTGTCACAGATGAGTCACGTATACTAAAGGGACATTTGATTTCAACTACAGATTGTCCACAACACTTGCATGACAGCAAGCCATCAGGGCTTGCACCGATATATGGCTTGCCTTTAAGAACATGCAAACCACTTTGTGTCAATTTACAATTGATGTGTTCAGTGAGAGCAATGGCATGAAACCCACTAAGTGCTTTTTCTTCATTGTCTTTCCCTCATTTAATGGCAGGAATATGGTCAAGGTTTTCATTTCCAGCAAACATTAATTTTACAACTAATGGGGTGGTTTTAACATTTCCTCTTGAGTGTAGTAAAGAGTCTGTTTTTGTACAGACTTCCTTAAAATTGGATGCTGTGATTCCGCCTTTCCTGTGTTCTTTCCATGCCTTACAGCTAGCTTGTCCTTTTGTTTCCTTCTCAATATCAAGAACCTCCTGATCACTTAAAGGGAGTGTTTTAAAAAAAAAAACATATATCTTTTCCTGTTCTGTTGCTGTCCCACCCAGTGTATTTAAGAATCTTGCTGCACATTCAGTAATGTATAATTGCTTCTTTGGCTGGTCGTGTAATTTCAATTCCATGCTTTTTAATATTTGTGCACGTGGGTAGATTTCTTTCAGTCCATTGATGAATCTATCTTTATCATCGTAAGTGATTTCTTGTTGGCCTTCTTTCCTTGGGTCAAATGTTTTCCATTCTTTAGTGATAATTCCCTTTTCTCTATGTTTACCAGATGCTTTGTCCTTCCTGATGTTCATTTCAAGGATCTTTTGTGCCTCCACATCCTTTCGTGTTGACTGGTTCCATCCACATGGCACTGATGTGCAGGATGGATCAGTATATCCACTTTGTACAGCAAAATTTACCTTATACAATAGGGCAATGATATGATTGCAGGTTGGGCTTGTACCTGCAATGCCAGGTGCACCAACCACACAGAATTGTACCATTGGATTTTAAAGCTACCCACACCTGGTGTGGGTCTTGCCGTACACGTTGCGAGGGAGTAATGCTGCTCTTCAGAATACACTTGTCATCCTTATTTTTTGAGTATAAAACAGATCCAACAAAGTTACTTTTCCAGTATGAATATGCTTTCCTGTCTTTATATTTTCCAATATATGTTGTATCAAATTCCTTGTGAAGGAGAATGAATGCAAATATCTTGCCTAAGTCAACTGCTGGCCATAAAGTCATGTCATCTAACCATTCAGTTTCAGAATTTGGATCAGCAAGATCGCACTTGGCTAGTCTGTTGTTGTACTCTGCCTTTAACTTGTTGTTGTGTTGCTCATGAGTTAACTTGATTGGCAAATTCATCTCACATGCTGAAAAAGCTCTAGCAACTAATTCAACTTTTCGACCTGTCACTTGAAGACCTCTTAAGTTTAAATAGTCTCTTAAAGTCCCAACACTTAAATCCAGAAAATCCTCATAAGCATTCATCCTTACAAACTAAGTAAAAAACACAAGACATTAATTTAAAGTATTTGATATAGTATTTTATCATTTCTTTACGGTGTTTTCTTATATATTGTACATAGGCTTTACAAAGGCCCTCATTTCATCTAGAATCGAAATCAAGATTAAAAAATAGGATTAAAAGCAGTTCGAAAAGTGTTGTCCAAAATATTCTGTGTTGCGAATATGACGCGTTCAATGTTGCAATGTCGACCGAGAAATTCACAAAAATCGGGGGAAATATCGTTCTCAGTCGGCTAAAGTTTGGTAATAAACGTGACAATACACTTCAATTGTACTTATCASTCAATTGKAATTATCTTTCATGTGGAATTTGCCCAAATCCTGGTTGGATACATCTCGTAGTGTTTGTTTTGATTTGCACGCATCGCCACGTGGTAAATTTGCATACGTCAGCTTCAGAAATTCACATAAAATCCGGGGTAATATTGTTCTCAACCCGTTCAAATTTTGTAATAAACGTGAMAATTCACTTACCTAAATTGGCTAAAAATCTCAGGTCCAACGGTTAAGATTTAAGTGAATAAACAAGGAAATTATAACACCGCCTCGTGAATCCTCCGTCAAAATTACAAAGAATGTATGGGGCTTTGTAGCCACGCCTCCGAACTTCATGCCTATTGAACAAAATGGCGTCGAAAACCGTGATAAGGCCTATTCCCGCTGAAATATGAATATCTTATCAACCGAGCGCGAGGGCCGTACGGGAAGTTATGTACTGAATTTTTCCGCCAAAGTATGGCCAGAGCGCGTAGCGCGAGGGCCATAAAAGAGTAGGAAAAAAAAACGAGTTTCCATAACTTCACGTACGGCTTGAGCAAGCGAGGTTACTAAGATATTTATTCTAAAGAAAATTTTCAGGGAAAAATAGTAAAATTGATAGAGAATCGAGCATAAAAATAGATAGATAGGATAGATAGATAGATAGCTTTAATAAGAAAATCATATGACAGCCAAAAAGGCTGAATAGTCATAGTCGTGGTTACCTGCGACATCTTGAAAGGTAGCCGTGCCTTTACATCGAAGCGAGACAACCGTTGAGCGTGCAATGATAGATAACTGTGAATAATTGTTTGTAGGTGCGAAAGAAGGTGTCTATATTGTACGCTCAACGGTCGTCTCACTTCGATGCAAAGCCACGGCTATCTTTCAAGATGGCGCAGGGAAACGTGAAAAAGACTATTGCATGATATTGAAAAGATTAAATAGCTATATGATGTGAAATCTTGAAACGAGTCAGACTAGTACTTAACTATAACTATTATACTACAAGGGTAATAATAATAAAATCCTTAACTATAACTATATTACAAGGATAATAAAGATAAAATTCTTATTTACAAAATGAGACGTATTAAATCTATTTTCTAGTCATGGTCGAACTAAAGCGTTTTGTACACGTTTTTTTGCGCAGCAAAACGGCGCTAGAAGATAAAATCCGCTAGCCCATGTAATATCCTCTATGTATATTCTATGGGATAGGTTAACTACAAGGAAACACACATGATTCTCTGTGACTGTTAGTGTCACTCTAGAGTGACTCTAGTCACTCTGGCTTTTAATTTAATTTCTGCCAGACGAGTGCGTAAGAGTCACAGAGAATCATACGTGTTTCCGTGTAGTTCACCTATTGCATGTTTTGCTCTGCACTAATGTGTATTGAGCACTGTTCAACAAAGTAGTCTACAAATTGGGTCAAGGAAAAAACAATTTATTGATAGCTAAACCATTACTATTGGCTAAATCAGTAGACCAAGCCCAATGCCAAATCAAGCTGCCAATGGCAACACAACTCGGAGATTGTAGGGTTATTTTGAAAAAAAAATTAACAGAATATGAAATTGAAAAGTGTACCACAAAGCTTAACATGATCAGCTAAAACATTGTATTGCTGTAGTATCATGTCAACAAACCTACGATCGCAGTCAGTCTTCGCCGGCAACAAATTCGGCTACAAAACTCGTTTCTCTATCCATYCAAATTTTCTAGCTTTCTTCAAAATGACTAAGTACGATGTACTCCAAGTAAGTCAAGTAAATTTCACCGAAAATTGTCTCTTAGACCAGCTTTAGAAGTTATATTTCCCCGGTTATTTCTTGGTCCGCCATTTTGAGAGCCTGGGATTTTTTTTCAGCGATTTTGAGAAACTGCGATTTTTTTTCAGCGGCTATATTTAAAAGTAAACGGTAAAGTGAGTGAGTGACACATCGTCCCCCTCCAATAACTCTTCGATTGCTTACACAATCTCCGAGTTAAAAAATGACTTCATTGATTGCATCCACCACAAAGCTTTTCCCATAAATTTTTCACAGATATGTAAACCATATTGCAAATGTAAATAATTATTATACTTGTCTTAGACCTACTATCCTCACGATACCAGAGATTTTTAACTCGAAGATTGCGAAGCAATCGAAGAGTTATTGGAGGGGGACGAGTCGGCTGTCACTCACTCAATCACTCAATCACTCAGTCACTCACTTTCCTGTAAACTTGAGCCTGCGTTACTTCAGGACTATTAAGAACTATTAATTTATTCTCATTGTTTTCTAGTAATTTATTCATCAATTTACCGTTACCGG